AATTGCCACTTAGGACGAAGTTTTACTCTTCTATAACATTCTTTCAGTAATATATCAGTTCTACCATTAGAAAACTGAAAAATTGAGGGGGGGAAAATGAACTTTGGGCAGCGAGAATTATACCATCCAAATGGAAAAGAATACGTTAAATAGCATTATTAAAATTAATACCTTTCGTCATTTATGCTCGATATAGTCTCTAATTGTATAGAAACAGTTATGCAACAGAAGAGATTTTACTTGGGCCTCTAACGTTTGTATCGAATTTAATCGTTTAATGTCATTTGGCAAAGGGTTCTAAAATAATGTACATGCATTGAATGTGAATATTTAGTAGTGAGATGTAGATACAGTCACCTGATGAATATGATTACTAGGTCGAGAGCTATTGTTAGAGACATCGGCGTTTGCTGAAAATATATTCCCGCCCTTAAGTGTCATTTCTGACAAATACCACTGATTCGTAAAATAAGAGACAAGGTAATTCGGATATCGTTGTTTAAAGTACGAACATAACCCATCTAGAGCAAAACCATGGATTCCACAAGAAGGTTATTTTGAAAGTAAAATGTTATCATCAATGACGTCAATAGGTTTTGCAATATCTAAACATATTCCAATAGATGCTTAATTTTGATCCACGGACGAAGGGACATCTTTAAGAAAAGAAAATATGGCTGTTTCCGTAGATTCTGATGACGCTATTGATGACGGCGACGCACGATGACGCGGTGACGGCGGCGAGGCATGGTGACGCGACGGTCGACGACGCAGTGACGGCGGTGAGGGACGGCGACGCGGTGGCGGTGACGACGAACAGCGACACGGGAACGGTGGTGAGAGAAAGCGACATTACAATTAGGAATTATGCAGAATGCGAGTCTGGTTATTCTGCAGGTTAATTGCAGGAGTATTTACAATAAAACGTCATTTCTGGAACACGGTGGAATCATATAATGTAGATGTCGTCATAGTACGGAATCATGGCTCAATGTGGAAATATTAAACGCTGAAATCTTCAGACATTTTTTTTAACATTCGGACGTGATAGAATAGATCGCATATTGGAGGTATTTTTATATTTTATAAGACAACTTTAAATCAATAGGCATGCATGGATAACAGATTTGAAATAATAAGTGTAGACATTCGTGATAGAAACTCAAAAAAACAATGGGAAATTATAGGCGTATACAGATCACAGGAAGATGGACACGAACCGTTGCAAAGACCCTCGTACTCAGGGAAAGTGGAAAAAACGTCATTACTGGAGGAGACGTAAATTTACCACACGCTACCTGGGAGGGGGATGTGGGGGCTGAAGGCGCTGCACAACTCCTCATAAACGAGCTGGTTTAGGACAACGGCTTAACTCAGGTAGTGACCAAACCTACTCGCGATAATGCTTTACTGCACGTTTTCCTTATTAGACCGGTGGATAAACTTCTTGCCTGTGAAGTAATTCCTGGAATTAGCGATCACAAAAGAGTCCTAAAAATGCGTAGAGATGGGAACCGAAAAGAAAGATAACTTTTTCAGTTTAATAAAACAACCAATAAGCATCCAATTATATTTGAAGAGTAATTTTCCCACTTGGGCTTCTAACGGATGTACAGTAGAACAGATGTGGACAAATCATTTTAGAAAGCTTAGCAAAATTCGCGCCTACCAAGACACTACGATGCCATTCGGATCTTGTGTACTACAACAAAGAAGTGAAGCGACTGAAAAGGCTGGTTAGGAAAGCGTATAGTAAAAGTAACATAAATAAGGAACAGAAAAATAATTTTCTACAATTATCTAAAGACTTACTAGCATTAAAGTTACATACCCAAGGAAATTACAAGCAATCAATTCTAAACGATCGATTGACCTGTTGGCAAAATTTCAAGTATGTGAGACATAAGAAAGGGAACAAAGAAAGTATTCCAGCGATCTGCGGAGCAGACGGTTCGTTAATTTCAGATGGCAGCGAAAAGGCGGCTTGTTGAAGTAGACATTATGCATCAGTTTTCAAGCCGAAGGATCAAACCCCAGTAAGTGAAACAACACCCGTAAGTGAAACAACAACCTTTCGAGTCGATGAAGGAATTATTAGAAAAAGGATCTGTAAGTCTAGAAAGATAAATAAATCTGGAGAGATAAATCCGGAGGTCCATATGGAATACCAGAAGAAATACTAAACTTGGGAGGGGATGCCATGATTCCGTACCTTGCGCGGTTAATGGAAGTTACTATAAATAATAATACGATACCTCAAAATTGGAAAGAGGCAATTGTTGTACCGATTCACAAGGGAGGGGACAGAAGAATTGTTAACAATTACAGGCCAAAAGTTTGACATCAGTCGTATGCAAGCAGATGGAGCACATAATTGCGGAGTATATTAGACACGTTTGGAATAAAACTGATTGGGTATTTCACAATCTACACGGTTTTCGTCCAGGTAATTCGTCAAACAAATGCCTAATCATAAAGGTTAAGTCTCGTTTCAAGCCACCACACCAAACTCCACATGGAGTTACTGAAGCACGTGGGTCCATCGCGCGTCAAGTGTGAATCGGACCAAGACCCGAACCGCAAAGGAATGAGGACTGGTTGAATTCAATGAACCACGCGCTACAGCCACTCCATGCCCTTCCACCAAGTGTTTCCGGTCAAGTTCATGTTAAATTAGCATTATAACCGGACAAGATTCTGAGGGAAGTAGGTGTAAAGGTATCAAAACTAGATGTATTGACCAAATGTGTTATTATTATATTGTTATTATTAATCAAGGTTATGAGAAATAAAAAAAATATTTACATTGAATATAATATACCAAGGCACACTTCCGGTCATTATATTCCTAAAAAAATATATTCTATATCTATATTCCACATTGCTTTTGTTTTGTCATTTGAGTTCACAATATCCTGATCGTGTTTCATAATTTTTAGCGTGCATTATGACTTTTCTTAACAATGATTTGTATTTTTTTTAATAGATAAGAAAATCTTTCGATAGGTTATGATTACGGGACGGATTTTAGTGAATTGTCATTTTTTTCACAGTGTCGTTTACTACAGAAATTAATTTTATGTTATGACAAAAGGAAAAGACCCACTTTTATAAGAATTTTTTTTCATCATTTTTTGTCGATTTTGACTAATAATTCATTTTGTACCTTTTCCCGTCGTTTTTTGCGAATTTTATCGATTTTAATACAATTTGAATGGAACTTGCTCAAATAATGATTACCAGATGCAACAAATGTTATACAGTAAATTCCTGAGTAGCTTACTCGGTTTCCTCGCTCAGAAGTTGTAATGTGAGCCGTTGGAGAATTTCTTCGCTCATAAATTGTAATGTCAGTCGTGTCAATCTAAGGTTTCGGTGAGACCTATTAGCGCCATTGTCGGTTCAGCAGATTTCAGGATAACTAAAGAAAGGGATTTCTTGATAAAAAGATTCAAAACCAAATGTTTCAAAGTTGAGTTCACTTGAACGAATAGAAGAAACCTCGATTACATCCGTAATATATCCAACAGTTTGAGTAGCTCAAACTGGTTTTGATAACATTTTTACGTCATTTTTGTTTGCTTTTGCGGCATTTTAAAAGCATATTAAGATAATTTTATTTATCATTTTTGGCGATGTTTCAGGTCATCAAAAGTCGACCCTCGTTATGATGCTTCGAAATGAAAGAATGAATTTGTTTTTATATGACGCCCTAATCCCTTGTGTTATCCAAGAATTGCTTTTCCGTGAAATATTTAATTTTTGGAAGAGCAAAGCAAGAGTTAAAATGAAATGATATCGTCACATGTTCATGTGTAAAGTAACTGCCCAAATTAATGTAATTCTGCTCTCCTACGATGACTGTTTCCTGATTGGTCCGTATCTTCGTGTGGGTGCCCAACTCTGCAGTCACGTCTGAAAAAACTCCCTAAAAATAGATGATACGAGTAGTTGGGGGGTATCTTCCTACTAATGGAGGAAAGATGGCGGCCATGGCTGTTAGCTAAAATAAGTACCTGTTTTTTAGGCTCAGAAGGAATGTCTTTTACCATGTGGGAGAGGAATGGATGCGCAGCTTTAGGTGTTGTGGTTTTGACACTCTTCCTAGCCTGTTTGTGTTGGTTTGTGCAAGCATTTGTCGATGGTAGAGAAGGATTGCGGAGATCAGGAAGGTGAGGAAAATCAGTATCACAATCTAAAACACTAAATTTGTTCTGAGTTGCGATTGGGAAGATTCGCAGTGTTGTCCACTTGTACCAACAGTCTGTGTAGACACAACCTCTTTCAACCATCGAATATGTTCATTTAAAATATTGCTTATGTGTGTGGAAGCTTTCAGAAGGTCGGTTTTGTGAGTGTAGAGTAAAAAGAGTAAACGAACGCATTTTAATGTGAGAAAATTGGAAATAGTTAAAAAAGAACTCAGATAAGAGTAGCAATCACCAAGCTCAATATTTTTAAGTGTACGATTGAAATTTATTAGCTAAATTAAAATTATGATTCGATACCAGAATGAGAAGGTACGCTGCCAACAAAAAAGAATGAAAGGTAGTATTTCTTCTAATCGTATAAACGATAGTACTCTTTCACAAGAAATGGTCATTAGTTTACAGAGAACTTTTTCTTCTTTCAATATATTTCAAGGCAATGCACAAAATACGTTTTTACATAAATCCTTGTCTATAGAAACTACCTCAAGGTACATTCCAATTAACAAACCTTGATGTATGTTCTGTAGTTACACTTAAACCACTGCAATAACTGGTTAAAGCCACGACGAGAGTAGATGAAAACATTTGTACTTATTATCCTCACAAGACAAAGAAGGCCAGTTGGAAGAATTTTTAACGACAAAGAGTACTAGTTCATAATGTGTTCATAAATTTATCGGATGTGCAAATAAATATAATGTCATTACTGCTAAAAATATGGTGTCCCTTAATACAAGGGAGTGTGAATATCTTTAAAAATTAAATACCAAATTATTTAAATATCCTTACCTGTCGATGTCTGCCAGAGTGTATGAGGTCACAAAAAAATTTCATTACAGATGCATTTGCATCTCTGTGATCCAAAGTGCAAGCAAGAAGCGCACAATCTAAAATACAAGGCAGTGTAGCGGCCTGAAGAAACTGCACTGGCATCCTTTGAAGAAACCTATAATAAAAGAAAAAATAATACATTAAAATTCTTATTTTTTTATTTATTTTTGAGATATTTTCAAGTATTTTCTAGTTGATAATTCGTTCTCGGTCAATGGTATTGATTTTAACGTACATTAACACAATGATTTTCTGATTTCCCATACTGCTCAATTTTCATTATTATTTCTCCCAAAGAACAGAAAATTCCTAATCGAACCTCTCCATGGTGGGAAATGTGGCTCTGGAGACTACAATTTTTAAATTAAATGTGTTCATCAAAACCGATCTTCAAATAAGGATACGTTGACTTTTTCGAAATATGAGTATTTTAGAGTATTTGTGGGTTAAAAGTAGTCGCCCGCTCCGAAAATCCTACGCTTCGTGAACGTAATTTCGAGGTGTTTTGAGGCAGTTGGATGCTGCGTAAATTAGAATATGACAGGCGAAACATCGGCCTCTATGCCAACGACGCAGAGTCACTCGGACAGCCTACAAGTCATGACCTCGAGCCGCGGAAGCCTACGTGTAAATTCATAGTATTTCATGTTTCATTGTTCGATTCTTACGTTCGAGCTTTTGTTATGTTTTCAAAGCAATCTTTTAGAAATTATTTAAAACGTTTTTCAAAATAGTATATGAAATATATGGTTATAGGTACACGCCGAAAAAAATGATTTTCTACAATTTTCAAAAAATTAGGTTTTTTAACGAACATGAGACCTGCGCCATTCTCTTTAACGCCATTTACACTATCCAATAACAAACTTTTATAAAAAATGGAGAATTTTTTAAAAATTTTGTAAAGTCTCAGGGGCTTGCTGTCAAGTACCATCCAAAATTAAAAAATCATTATCAAATTCAAGAGGCGTCAACATCATTCAGACCGATTGGGAATATCAATTTTGGAGTAAATCGGCTGAACGGTTTACCCGCTAGCGTTGTTCACGGGCAGACGGACGGACGTTTTGCCGGCAATAGATTTTTCGATAGGAAGAAGGTACGAAACATAGATTCGAGCTGCACTACGTGTTACCTTTTATCCCCTGAAAAATTTAGCATCTGAATTTATCCACTTTTTCATTTCCAGTGCCCTGTAATAAGAGTTTTTCTGCCGATAATTCATCGTTCTTTCGTGCATCTTTACATAACTTTCTACCGCGATAGCAATAGGGAGAAAAATAAAAATTGCTAGACTTCAGGGAATATCAGATTGGAATACAACAATGGCTTTCGGCGTCGTGACTCGCGAATGATACTGCTGAAAATAAACAGCCCAAAGCGTTAAAGCATTCTGTCGGAAAATAAGATTTCCAGTGCAACAGGTAATCACTAGATTCTAAACAGCAAGATTTAATTGAAGAAAAAACACCTTCCATTGACACAGTTTTCCCTTTCTGTTTATCTCTCTACATAATATACAAACAATAAAAGAAAAATTATTATTTTCTCGTTTAATTGGTAATGGTCACGTAATATATTACACCTTTTACCTCATTAACACTTCATTGTTCCAATAAAACGTAACAAAACGAAAGTTGAAACAAGAAAATATAAATAGACATTGAAAACAAAAGTACATGTAGAATTTCACGTATACAATTCATTTCAAAGTCATTAACAGTGGTTAAACGTATATATTCTTGTATATATTTCAATGCATTTACTTTCATGTTCATAAAAGTGTTTTATTTTAAGTATTTTTATTTGGAAATACTTCCACATCTGAATTAGAGACGTCCGCCATTTTCTACGACGTAATTTTGCTAGGCCACTTCTCCCACCTTTGAAATTGGCTGCGGCTGTTTGTGAGACTTCGCCTGCAACGTTTCGTCATGATAAGGCCTGCCCAAGCCGTGGAAAACGACACGAAGCCAGAGATGGCGCTGTTAATTTATGTTGCCAGAGCTGTACGGTTCGGCCTCAGTTATAAATCAGTCTGCCGTAAGTTCTTGATGTGAGCTGCTGGCAAGTGCGGTGCCCGTGCGGGTCAACAGAGAAAATTACAGGTTTCGAACATAAGTGAGAAAATCAGTGATTTTGGACACTGTGGCTTCGTACAACTTAATCATCCTGTATATATATGGCAGTCATTGGCGCACAGTAGCACTCTGTCACATGTCATAGGCTGGCTCAGCCCGCCCTACGTTTGTGGACCGTCCGCGAGCGCTTAATTCGGGAGTTGGTTGATTTCCAATTAGTCACCGTGGGTGCCTGATGGTCGGGGCTTCCATCCTTGGGTTCGGCGGAGGAGCAAGAGGGAAGAGCGCGGCGACGCTGGAGCGCGGCCACGGTCTTGGCTGCAGCTGTACGGGACAACCCGCCCCTACCCGTCGGTCAACACCACCACAAGCTGGGCGTTTTCGACTGCCACGCCAACAACAACCAGAGTAATCATTTGCTTTGCTCCCGCTAAAACGCGGTAGGACAGTCACCGAGTGAAGCTAAAAGAATGATGCCATCAGCATCGGTTTTCATGGCGACCTACCAGCTTATTTAGTTTTGTGTCGAGCCAACCATTAAATTTAAAAGAAAAAAAGGTCTATGTGTCTAATTTGTAAAAATGTCATGTAAAATAACCTATCATTCATGCTCATCATCTTAGATATTAAATGTTTTAGTTATTAAATATAAAAATTTAAATGAGTATAGTATTGAAAACCTCATCCCCGCTTCCAAAAGCCTCGAGACGTTTGGGATATACAGGAACGCGCCGTTTCCTGTTATACCTGGGAATGCCGCTAAGCGCGCCGAGGGAACGGAGGAATAATCCTCCTTTGTTCAGCGCAACCCACGCCGCCCGCTCCCTCGTGACGCATGGGGAAATACGACTCCCGCACCCCAACACCGAGCAACGGAATTACCCGTGCCCTGTTCTTAGAATTTACGTGACGGAGGTTACTTCGGAGAAAGTTGCCGAGGCACAGCTTTGCCGCTGGCGACGTGATAGGCGGAGGAACCACGGGTGCCACGACGACCAATCGCGATGTGAGACGCGGGGGAGGAATCACGTGACACGCGAGCCTTCCTGAGGGACCGCCGAAGAAGGCTCGATCAGTTGTTTCGGAGGCAGCGAGGAGGCCACTTGTTACGGAGGCAGCAGGGGAATCACTTGTTTCAGAGGCGGCAGGGAGAACCCTTGTTTTGGAGGCAGCCACGAGAACACTTCTTTTGAGCGAGCGGGGAGAGCACAAGTTATTTCTATTCGGAGCCAGGGCTATCCGAGCCTGGTCGCCCCAAATGCCATGCCGCCTCGCACACATCGCAGCCCGACTCACGTGACGGAAGCCGAACTATGGGACGGGACACCACATGTGAGTGCCTGACTGCAAGAGCAAAGTGAGTACGAGCCGGGGCGTGAAAGATATGATCACGAAGCGACCCGCCGTCGCCCGGGCGCGGCCCTGCCGCCCGCCCGCGCGGAACAACGCCGAGGCGCCGTCCGGGCGATGCACACCGCCGGCCTAATCCGGTCACTGTGGGCCGCCATCGCGGCCGCGGAGTGATCGCCAAAAAAGGAACCTGGGGCAAGCACCGACCGTGGCTGCCCGCCGCCAGACCTGCCGGGCGCTGGGATGCCCGAACGCCGCCCCTGTAAGCTGAGTCACGACCGCCCAGGAGGGCGAAAACCACGGAACTAAGATGAACTCTGGCCATGCCGGCCTTTTTTAAGTTAAAATTAGTTGTAAGTTAATTGTAAGTTTTGTTCTGGCATTGGGCTTCACACGCAATGAATTCAAGATTGATTAAAGTAATATTAAGAAAATGCCTAAGTCTTTCTCTCCAGTAGTTAGCAATCACGCATGCCTTCCTCTAGGGAGTCTGCCGACGAAGCAGCCAGGCAAAGCTGAATCGCCGAAGGAAATCGGGTGAGTCGGTGGTAACAATAAACACAAGAATTCTTGGAAAAATGAGGTAATCATATATGCTGTTACACTTCGATGAAATGACAATCCAGCGAGACAAATTTCGTACAACAATACATTCTTCCGCCAATAAATTCATAAACATCAATGCGGAGCTTCTCCACGACAAATGCATTATTCCACAGATGACAAAATAAGCTAACATCTAAATATCAATTAAAATGAGTTATAAACAACTTTTTCCTGTAATGAACCCTAAGAACACTTGACTTTATTTCACTCTGTCAGTGTGTCGTATGTCGTGACGAGGTGTACGTACGGTCGGAAGAAATAGTTGAACAATTTAAGTATAATAAATAAAAGATGTTGTCTAGTATCAACAATTTAGGTGGCTGATGATCGTTTTGATCTCATCCTTAGAGCTAAAAATCGGAATAAATTATATTAATACATGAATTATAAGTTAATACAAATATTATATACAGGATGTAGACATTGCATGACAGATGCGTAAGCAAACTGGGTCGTATATACCTTGCAGCTTCCGGGCCGAAAACAAAGTTCTGCGGATTTTTGAGTGTGTGTCGTGTTTAAGAACAGAGCCAGTCGGTAGCGGGTGGGGGCGGGGTGCGGGTGAAGTGTCGTAAGACGCGGGGGTGCCGGTGGAGGCTTGAGAAGGGGTCGGGCGAGCGAAGTCCAGTGGAGTAGGGGGAGAGGGTTAGGGTGTACACTTTACGCTAATTTTAGCAAAGGTGAAGAGAGTTCAGGGCTTGTTGGTTAAGACACGCCATGCTCTGTTTTTTGAGGATGTTGTGTATATGTACGGATTCTAATTTTATTCTGTTCCAGTACCTGCTTTCAATTTCTAGAATTCGGAAATTTGTGTGTTTATCAAATGTGTGTTTAAATTTAGGTGATCCGCGAAGTGTGAGACTGGGGTAGTGTTGTTTTTTCATGCTTGTTCGTGTTCTTTGATTCTCTGTGTTGTCTCTGTTTGTCCTGTGTATAAGGAATTGTAGTTGTTGCAAGTGAGAGCATAGGGAGGCAGGTGGGATTGGGTCTTTAGTGTTAGGGAGTGTTTTGTGTAATGTATGAGTATTGTTGAAAGAAGTTTATTCCGAATTTTAGCTGAGGATGATCGCTACGCGAT